GAGTCATGGTGACGCTGTGGAGAGAGGATTGTCTGAAGTAGGAACAGTGTGATTCCTGATGGACATAGATGTGGTTTATAGCACACAGTGACGGAGGCAGCTGGCAGATGCTGAAGGTATGCGTGGGCATGCGTGGGCACATTTAATGTATTTCTGTGTGGCCCCATTCGGCACAGTACAGATTTGTGAATTCACTGGTGTTTCTCAAATGTAAAATTGATGTGACGCAAATGGTTCTCTACTGTAGCAATGCAGTTGGAACAGATTCACAATTTTAATGCAATGGTTACCACAGAACTGACCATATCTTTCCTGCTAGAAGTGACTCGCCTTGTTCTGGGGTATGGATACTCAAAGCCACTGAGTCTCATTTCTTCATTCATTCAATAGTCACAGTGCCAGGTGCTCTGCAGGGCTGAGGATACAACAATGAGTAAAAGCTGTCACTTCTTTAAAAGGGAGAGAGAAGTCGGCATGTGAGAGTACAGGATGACCAACTCCAGCTGTTGTCTAACACATACAAAATACAGAGGACAGAGCAACTAATTGCCAGAATGAATCAAGAAGAGCTTCCTAGAAATGACATTTAGGCTTCGAAAGGGGTGTGACATGGAAAAGAAGAGAAAAGCCTTCCAGCCAGAAAGAAAAGCAAAAGGACAAAAACAGGACATGGCAGGGGCATTTGAGACCTCTCTCATGTGGCTACATGGGCTGTGGTTAGAGATGATGTGGATAAGGCAGACTGCAGGCACGAAGGGCCAAGCCTGATTCTGCCAGTCTCAAGTGTTGGGGCTTTTCCAGAAAGCAGTAAGGAGCCATCAGAAGTTTCCAAGCAGAGCAGCAACATGGTACGCTTTTGTTTGAGAAAGAAATCCCAAGCTGCAGCAGCATGAAGAGCACCCTGGAGATGGATGCTGGTCCAGGAAGGCAGGGCAGGGAATGCTGGCTTCTTGGAACATATGCTTTCTCCGTGTTATTTAAACTTTTGACCAGTCTTACTGGATGAAAACCAGATGATGTCTGATCCGTATGCTGCTGGGAATTCAGCAGAAGCCTCACATCCATGGACTGAGGCCTGGGAACAGGGAAAGTTAGAGAGGTCTCTAGACTCCACCCGGGATGGCTTGCTATGAACACACTTGCTGTGGTTTATAGCGTTTGTGATGGGGACATGGCCAATCAGTGGGTTGAGCCAGGAAGTGAGTATAGGGTGGGTTACTACTCTCTATCATTGTCATTTCTCCTATGACCCTCTGTGCTATTAACCTGGCATCTCTGGCAAGTAAGGGTTAACCCAAAACCGTGGCCCTAGCTCCATTTTCACAGCTTACAGTGATGAAGGAAGAGGGAAGATGCCGCTCCACATCTTAACACAGGCCCCACAGTGCGTGGTTGCCAGGTGCTCAGTAAAGTCTTGTGATCTCAGCCTCCCTAACAATTGTCTTTCAGACAAAGGCAGTCTGAAAATGGCAGAAACTGTTGTATTTTGAGCAACACTTTCATATCTGCTAATGCACTCAATCTTTTTTCCCAATGATTTAAGGGATGGATACTGTTAACAGTCAGGGAAGTAAAGTTCAGAGAGGTTAAATAACCTTCCCAAGGTTACTCAGCCAAGCTTTAAACCTAGGTCACCTGGCTCTAGAGCCTACTCACTTTGCAATCCACTTCCATCCTCACTTCAAGTACTCTTCTGAATATCTGAAATATAGAAGGATTTGCTTCTTCTTCCTCTAATTAGAACACCTATTTCTGGTGTATCACCCGCAGACACCTTCTGATGCCTTCTTCACTCCCCACATACACACTAGTCAGTTACAGCAGCCCTCCCAGGGCCCAGCGACCCCAGTGAGAGTAGCATTAGTGAGAAAATGTGCAGGTGGGTCCCAAGCTGATGAGGCTCCTGCCTAGCTCCCACCACAGTGCATTGACAAAAGCCCCTCCCTGCAGTAGGTATCCTCTGGCTTGTAGATAAGGAAGCTGGAGTTCACCCATTAAACAGATGGCAAAGCTGTGGTCTAAACAGGGATCCCCTGATTCCCAAGCAGGACTCCATCTCTTGGCCAGAAGTTTTTGAAGAAAGTTTCAGAGGTCCATCTGCCTTCAGCTGAGCAGCTCCGCCATTGTATTTCTCACATAATGAAGTTCATATTGGAGAAGTGTGGAAACCACAGCAGGCTTGATCTGTGCTGCCTGTATTCTAACAAATGATTCAGGACTCTCTCCTGCCATGCTGTCTTGTAAAAAAGGCTTTTTGTTTCCTGTGGATATCCTTAGTTAATTATTTTTAAATAAATAATTGTGCAGCCTATGGTAGAGAGAAGCCTCCCTGTGATCCATATTTGATCATCAGAGGGCTAGCCCCTTTTCTTTGGCCAAATTAAATAGGCTAAATCCAGAGGCTGTTTGATTTGAGACTCAATCGATGATGGGGACAGGCTGGGAGGTGAGCACACACCTGCCTCCCAGCGTTATCACTGCTCTCTCAGGAGCAGAGCATCTTGGGGAGGTAAATAGCTGGTCAGGGAGTCAGAAAATGCAGGAGAGAAACAGGGTGAACTCTAGTTTCTCCAAAGTAAAAGCGGGGCAGCAGCCAAACCTCCTCCCAAGTTGCTTTCAGGGCAGTATTATTAGTGGTTCTGTCAGAGTTGGATCCACTAGAAACTGTTCTCAGAGGGCCAGGGATTTAGCTCAGTGGTTCCACCGCCTGCCTCAAAAGTACAAGGTCCTGAGTTCAAACCCTGATACCAAAAAAAAAAGGAATTGTTCTCTGTGAAAATGTGATTCCATTTAGTATTTATAATCTGCCCCAAGTTGTCCGCAATTCTAGGCTCTTAGGGTGTACATCTTGGGGCCCATTCTGACACCAGCACCATCCCCTAGTATTCCCACTGACAGTTGCCTTGTATTTTGCCTTATGCTAAGAACTGTAAAATGTTAGTTCTAATCCCAAAATAGCCCTGCTGAGGAAGTATTTTCTCCATTTTATGATAGGAAACCAAGGTCCAGAGAAGAAAACCAATTTTCCCTTGATCACACATCTATTAAGAGCAGAGGGAGGATTTGAACCTGAGTTTGTCTAGTTCTAGAGCACATAGTCTTCCCACTGCTCCATCCTTGCTAGAAAATTCCTCCTTTTATTGATTAGAAATCTGCTTCCTTCTTTTTCATTGGACCTAGTTCTGCCTTGTGAACACATAACTTTCAAATCTCTTTCTTCTTCTATATAAAACCCTTTGAACTGTTGGAAGATCCTCTTGGCAACCTAGTAGTTAATGTGAGTAGAGATAAAGGACCTAACTTAATCCTTTTACCAGGGGGTAAAAAGGAGCCCTAGAGGGCCCCAGAGAGATAGAGAGGAAGACAAGCAGAACTGGGCAAGGGATATTGATTTGGAGAAGTAGACACCTTTCCTCCATTTAACTTAATGGCTCCTGTTTCTCCCCCCAAAAAATGTAGTTCCCTGGACCAACAACCACCGAATTCCAGTGCCAAACCCATCCCCCCATCAGCCCCTTGAAGCAAAGGAAGGGGAAACAGCCAATAGAAAAAGCCCATAGACCACGCATCAAGCCACTTCACAGTCAAACAAGTTGCTCTTGAAGGTCAGAACGCTGCTTTAGCATTTGTTTGTTTTTTCCCCAGCCCTCTGAAGCTCTAGGTCCTATCAGTCTTGGGTAATGTCCTTAGGAGGATCCTGGAAAACTGGCTTGAGTCTCTTCTTGGTAAGCTCCAGCTTAGTGAATTGAGGTTGCTGGCTATGGCAGCTTGCCTGGCTCCAGAGGAGACTTTTGTGGCCTCCCCTCGAAGATGGGGAAGGAAGTAAGGGAGGGGAAAAAGAATAGAATTGGTTTACAGGGATGGTTCATCTTGGAAACTGGGTGAAAGGAGATGAACAGCTGAAAGTTGGCCCACTTCTCCAAGAGAGTCCATGCCTAGAGCATTTGTTGCTCCCTGGCAGGAGAGAGCCCCCAGTCCTTTTTGTTAATCCAAAACAAAAAACAAGAACATTGTCTAGGGGTGAGAAATCAAAGGTGAGTCATCCCCAGGTCCCCCACCCTTGTCCTTGGCTATTTCATGGGCATCTCAAGCAAGATTAGCATCTGCAAACTGGATCCAGGTTCTTTGCCTTTCAGCTTCCTTCAGTTTCCTGGTTATCTGTCCAGCACTTTCCCTTTCCCAAGAGCAGACCTCCTTTTTGTTTTCTATCTAAGAGGGATGGTGAGAGCAGTGAGGCTGTAAACATGCTTGGTTTGCCCTTGCCCTTGTAGATCAGACTGCAGTAGTTTGCTAAAGCATCCACATCCCACCTGCGTCAGCTGCCTGCCTCGCCTGCTATGGCCATGTAATTCCCTGTACAGTGGAAATCAGCCAAATGAGATCCCATCAAAGAAATGGGAGTTCCAGAGCCAAAAAGCTGATACCTGATAGCCCCATCCCTGACTTGCTCTGCCTGTGTCCCCTGGCTTCAGCCAAAAGTGGTACCAAGAGACTGTTGACTGAACTATGGCTTTTACCAGGGCCACTGGACAAGTGTCTCTTCTTTGTCGGTTGGTCTACTCAAGCTGTGCAGCTCCACATAGCCAAGGGATGCTAGGGAAGCATTTCTAGCAGCCGATTTGAAGAATAAAAGAAATACTCTGCCCAAGAAGAGAAGGCCAATCACAGCCTCTAGATCCTAAACAACTATCCCAAAGGAATACAAGAAGAATCTCTTCATTCAACAGTTTATTGAGTGGCTACCAAGAGTCAAGACACTGGAAATACAGTAATGAACACAACAGACAAAATGTCCTACCCTCATAGAGCTTACATTCTAGAATTAAAGTAGAAACCATGCCACCTTTATCCCAGAGACAGACAGCTGATATTTCTTATGGGTAGACAGGGAAGAAGAAGGCAATTGTATTTTTTTCACCCATTCTTGAAGAGACTCTGAGTCAGTGTCAGAGGACCCCTGTGACACTAATGTTCCCTTTGGGGTTTGTGTTGTTTTTCAGGAGTACGCTACAGCCAGCAAGGAAACAATGAGGTCACTTCCTCCTCAACAATCAGTCACCATGGTAACAGCGCCATGGTAACCAGCCAGTCAGTTTTACAGCAAGTCTCCCCAGCCAGCCTGGACCCAGGCCACAATCTCCTCTCACCTGATGGTAAAATGGTGAGTACACCTGGGCCATTGTAGCTCTGGAGCTGATAAGATAAGAGGCAAAACAAACACAACTTCTCACAAGGCCTGCCTCAAACAATGAACCATTGTAACCCCACAGGAGAAAAAGGGGGCTGTCCAAAGTTGGAACGGAAAGGCAGAGCTGGTGACCCAGCCTTTGGCGGGTAGAAGAGGTGTTCGGTTTGAACCCAGCCAATAAATGTGACAGAGTTCTGCTCTCATTTTATTGATTGAATGCCTCATAAAGGACCAAGCCGGGTGGGACGCTATTTGTTTTGGGGCTGCCAGTGACATTTGTGTTGATAAAATGTTCATTCATCCCTCCCCTCCAAGGCCTCCACAGCCAGTTTTTTTTAACCCGGAGAGTACCAAGCCCCCTTGCTAGCAATCCCCTTGGTATTGGCAAGGAGAGTCAAGTAGGATTTAGTGAATGGCAAGAGATGAGAGCAACTTCTTGAACTGAGATTCTGAAGGACATGGATGCCTCTTAGGGAAGACCACAGCACAAAATGGCGGGTGGGTGGCATGGTGCTTAGAGTGAGGAAGGCTGACTTTGAAGTTCCAGGTTTCTGTGGTTCAAATCCTCTATAAACTGGAGGTAATAGCAATAAGGTTGTTAGGGGAGTAAATGTGATAACGAATACATGTGAAATACTCCCCACATTGTTCAGCACAGAAGATATTTACTGAATAGGAGTGTTGTTGTGTTAAAGTCAATTTTATTTTTATTAAGTGAAGTTTTCTATACTCATAACCCAGAGGTAAATTTAGCCCACTCGGCCAAGAAATGGATTCTTTGAATTTTGAAGATCCTAATCCCCTAGTAACCCAAGGGCAGCAGGGAGCAGCTTGTGGGACACAGGAGTATTACAACACAATGAGGGGAGGAAATGGAAAACTTTATTCTTGGTGTCATGCTCAGCGTTTCAGGAGAGGGAGGAGCCACAGGTTCCGACTTCCATGCTGAGGTGGTGCTGTACTCATTCCTGCAAGTCGTCTGACCTGAAGGCCAGTGGGGGCCAGAGTTGGGGGAGGGCAGCAGGGAACAGATGCCATTTCAGGCCTTGACGTGTGTGCTGTGTAGGCAACACAGGACTTGTGAGTCACAGGTGACCAAGGCCCCAGCTCCCCGGAGGAAAAACAAAGTATAGTTTCTGAGGGGAGCACTGGCCCAGCCAACTCTAGTTTCAGGGGACCTGAGCTGGCCTGCCAGGTAGAGCTCCTTGCAAACAAAAATGAAAAAGCTCTCCAATGGCAGGCATTTTACATCCTTCCTACCCTCCACCCATCCCTTAAGAAAGGTCATTTTTGCTGAAGAACAATTTGTGTTAGCTACCTTGTGAGAGGCACAGGCAAATCTTTATGATTTCTCAAGAGTCAAGTCAAGACCCAAACAAATTAAAGTTAAGCATTACCTAGGCTTTCCTGGAAGAGGAGGCCATGAAAGAGATCTCCACTTTCAGGTCTCAGGGTGGGAGTGTGGCTCAGTAGTACAGGGCTTGCCTGACATGCCGAGGCCCTAAGTTCTATCCCAGCACTGAAAAAACAAAATTCCAAATCTCCTTTCTTACTATGTGAAGGTCCTTGGGCTTTCCCTTTGAGCTCTCCCGCTCTTCCTCTTAAGCAGCAGGCTGCCTCACCCAGGCCCAGCTTGCTGCAAAGGCAGCCGGTAGACACACACTTTTCTCCCTGTTCTGCTCCACAGTGCCCTAGTTGGGCGCTATATTATCAGATTGATGATTGACCAAGGCAGCACACCTCAACATTAGCAAACATCTGGAAATTTGTTTGCAGGAACCAGCTTTTCACTTGTCTCCAACACCCTGGCTCATATGTTATGTCACTGTCACTGGATGCCCAGATTCAAGACTCTATTCTCTGTTAATATATAACAAGTCCATCACAGATCTCAGTCCACCAAGGCAACAGTAAAATATGGTTTAAAAGGAACACAAGCAAGGGGACCATTGTGTCCAAGTCTTGGCTCTGTCATTTACCAGAAGCAGGATGGAAAAATTACTTACCCTCCATTTCATCATCTGCAAAGTGGGGGATAATAATGCTTATGTCATAAGAAATAGGATTGCTTATAGCTCTGTTGTGTTTGGAGAAAGCCCTGTTCTAGGAATGACGATCTCTGTTGCTTACGTTCACTAGGACATGCCTTTGAAATCTTCCTCCAGAGATTGGTTTTGGAAATAATGCCAATCCGTTAGAGGTCTCTGTTGCAGTTGGGCCCCTACCCACAGTGGTGAATGGTGTGCCTTGATAGAAAGCTGGCCAGGTTTAGGGTTGCAATCTGTGTATATTGGCTTTGTTTTCTCATTTTGTTTTTTTTTTAAGCACATACTGGATACTTTAACCTTGTTGAGTGGTATGCTGTAAGGGTGGAAAGCTCCAGCCTTGAAGGCAGGTCTCTTGTTTTCAGCTCCAATTCTACCCTTTGGGCATATTTCTTAACTTTTCTAAACCTCAGTTTTCTTGTCTGTAAAACAGAAATAATACCAAACTCATAAGTTAAAGGCATGTAAAAGAATTTGGATACTGAAGGTATATAAATGGCAGTATTGTATGATTCGGGCTCTCCAGATTATCATGTAAGGGTTACTACCATAACCTTCACAGCTCTCTGGCTTCCATTAATCCTTGAGGCAAGTGGAAAATAATTGCCTTTTACAGTACTAAGTAACTTGACCAAAATTGCCTATGTGAATAGATTTAAACTCCAGCAAAACTGTGTCTGATTTGGGTTTCCTCACTTATTAGTCAAGTGACATAGCTAGTCTCAACTCTTTTATGGATCTGTGTCTTAATCTGTAATATAGAAACAATAATATGCCTGTCCCATCTGTGCCTTTAACTATCAAGGACAATTAATAAAGCAATCTACAGGGCTGGGATTTAGCTCAGTGGTGCCGCCACCTGCCTCGTAAGCACAAGGTCCTGAGTTCAATCCCCGGTACCAAAAAAATAAAATTAAAATAAAGCAATCTACAAACTCTGAAGCCATACACACTTAAAAGTGTTTTTATCACTAGTATCCATGGTTCTGCTGCACTATGACAGGCAAACATTGAAATGGAAGAGATGAACATCATTTCATTGACTTTCCCCAGAGGACTGTATTACCCACGGAATTCAGTCCCAGGGCAGGTCACTGTTTTTGTTTTTTTTTTTTTAATGACTGACATTTTGAAAAACAAGTCTAGCAAACAGGCTGGTTCTCTCTTGTTTGGTGTGGTCAGAATTCCTTTTGGGTCATGTGACCTCTAACTCATTTCTTGATACTCATTTTAAAAACATAAACAAACCTGCTTGGTTTTTTCTTTCTTTTTTTTTTCAAATTAACCTTGAAAATTATGAGGTTAACTGGAAGAGGAGGGTAGGAGATAGGGTCTTTCCTGGGTACTGGTGTGGGTCTTATGATCCAAAGAGCTTTGGGTAGTGAAAGATGGAAGAAAGAAAGTTGAATGACTCAGAAACCTGATGCATCCTAACCCTAAGGCATTTCTCAGGACTCCTGATGCTCTCAACAATGTCTGGGTTTCTTTAGAATGAGTCCTTTCTTAAGAATAATTTTAGAAACTATTTTAAACTATAAATAGTAAGTTACTGTATCATGAGAAAATATGTGTACATTTGTGTGTAAAACTGATAGTTCCATTAAACTTATAATCAGTGGGAAAACATTTCTATAACATTAGGATCAAAACAAGCACATCTGTTCTAGTTGTTATTTGTCTAATTCTATTCAAAAAGTTCTAACCAATGGACTTGAAGATATATTAGTTCTAGTAAGGAAGAGACCTTTCAGCATTTTATGCTTGTGATGCAATTATATGCTGTACTTGGAAAAGTTTTTTAAAAAATGAGGAAACTATATTGCAGGAATGAATAAAAGGATTCAATTAAGTGGCCATGTACAAAATATATACACAAAAATTAGTACCTCTCCCCTACTGATCTCATTAAAATATAATGATGGAATAGAATTGAGCTTTGTTTTACAACATCAGCTCCTTAACATAAAAGAAAGAAAAAGAAATTTTAATGTATAGTGAAGATTTAGGAAAAGTAGAGTAACCTGATAACACCTTAAGCCCCTACCCCTTAGTATAATTGTGGGGTGAGGGGAACTTGTGTTTTAGAGTCAGAGACACCTGGGTTTGAATAACTGCAGTACCATTTGCTAATTGTAGGATCTTAGGCAGAATATATATCTTCTCCAAACCTCAGTTCACCATCTGTGAAATGGGAGTGTAGTAAGAAGGTCTGTGAGTTAATGAGTGAGCAGGGCTCAGAGAGGGCTTCCTTGCCCTCCTGCCTGGTTCCTAATCTACTCTCATGGGGGAATCCCAGAGCTTTTCTTCAGTTATTATTTTTTAGTAGTCGTGTGTCTCTAGCACATAATATAGAAAGCAGAATGCAGAAGAAAGGCCACATGCAAAGTGAGCAGGCGGTAAACATAATACACTGAAGAGCAGAATTTTTGAAGCCGGCTGATAACTCAGAGATAATCAGCAAATCCAGGTGCCATCAGGCAGGAAGAATTGTCTGTTTTACTTACTGCTCTGTCTTCAGCACCTAGAACAGTGTCTGTCCCATAGTAGGCGATTAATCATTATAGGGGGGATGAATGCACTGGTGAATTAGCTGGATTCTGGAGCTGCTGCTAAGTTATATCATTCTGCAATCCACTCATGCTGCTCTTGTTTTTCCTCTCTAGCAGATAGCAGTCTCAGGAGGAGGCCTGCCCCCGGTCAGCACCTTGACGAATATCCACAGCCTCTCCCACCATAATCCCCAGCAATCTCAGAACCTCATCATGACCCCACTGTCTGGAGTCATGGCCATTGCACAAAGTAAGTTCTACTTGTAGGCAGAAAACTTGGAGGCAGGGAGAAGATGAATGGGAGGTGAGTCAACATGATTCTTTTTTTAAAAAAAAGGACCATAGTTGATCCTTTGTGCACCTGTAGATTTTATTTAACTCCTTTCATTTCGTTTCTCATTCAACAATATTTAAATTATTTAGCTTAAAGCAAGAGAAAATTTGGGGATGGATTTGAATCCCAGTCAGTTTGCCAGCTGTGCAGACTGGTTCCAATCAATGAACCTTAATGAAGTCCAATCTCCTCATTCATAAAATGGGTTGTTGGAGCCATCAAATGACAGTAAATACAGACGTGCTTATAAATTTGTAAAGTATGAATATGTTTATACTTTTATCTTGTGTTCATTCCTAACCTTAAATATGTGGCAGATTTTCCAGGGGATATTTTGTGTTGATGAAGATGAGGCAAGATATGATGGGCTTGCTTCTAAAGGGGAGTTTATGTAGTAGGCAAGATCCCCTTGGCTTATGGTAAAAATACAGAAAGGCAGGACACAGGAGGAAACTGTTCCAGTGTATTTGAGCTTTAAGAACTCTAAAGAGAGCTGGCCACGGTAGTGCTCACCTGTAATCCCAGCACTCTCGGCAGCTGAAGCAGGATTGCAAGTTCGAGCTCAGCCTGCACCACTTAGCAAAACCCTGTCTCAAGAATTAAACATGGGCTGAGGGTGTAGTTCAATGTGAAGACCTTGGGTTCCAGCCTTAGTACTGCAAAAAACAAAACAAAACAAACTAATAAGAAGTAGGTTTTTTAGGCAGATGCCTGAACACAGTGAGATGGATCAGATCCTTCAAGCTCGAGACTCCCATTCTGCACACGGGGCCTGTGCCCACCTGTCACAGAGGGACCACTTCCAGTCATGGGAAGGCTGCAGCAGGCTGTGGCTGGAGGTGTCTTTCAGAAAGTTTTATATGCTAATGAGTATTCAGTGTGTTTTGAGCTTCTCTGTGACAGCTCAGGTCAAATCATTGTTTCTCAAAACTGTCACTGTGACCCTTGGAAATATTCCTGAGATAACTCAGGAGCTATCTAAGGGTAGCACAATGGTCATCTGTTTTTGACTTTGTATTATTCCTTTGTCCTCTTGAAGCCCCTTGTGTCTAGTGTCTATGTTGACCACTTTTGTTTTGTTCCTACATTTTGTTTTGTTTTGTTGTTTTGAGTTAGGGTCTCACTATGTAGTTCGGGCTGGCCTCAAACTTGCGGAGATCCTCCTGCCTCAGCCTTTGAAGCACTGGGATTACAGGCATGCACCACCACGTCCAGCTCCTGCATTTTTCTTTCCCTCCTTCACCTCTCCCCTAATCAGCTCAAGCTAGGACAGGAACTCAGATCATTTCTAAAGATAATGGTGTATGTGTCCTTTGAGAGCTCCACAGGGATAGGCCTATTGGAGGCACACAAATGAATTGAATGAGTTTGTGTGGCTCTCCCTCTATTCTTAGCTGCTAGGAAATAAACATACTCTGTATTTTTGCAGAAGGAAGATGGGAAAGGAGAAGCCTTTAGAGGTTTCACAAAATAAAAAATTTGCTGGGTATAGTGGCATATGCCTGTAATTTCAGCATTCTGGGAAGCTGAGGCAGGAGGATCATGTGTTTGAGCCCAGCTTGGGCAGCTTAGCAATTTAGTGAGACCTGTCTCAAAATAAACATAAAAAAGGGATGAGCATGTAGCTCAGTGTGAAGGTCCTGATCCTTGGTACCACACAATAAAAATAAAAAATAAATAAATTATTTTTAATTACTGCCTTTTTTTCCGCTGGACCCTCTGGTACTGAACTTGTATACCAAGGTTTGAATTGAAAATGAGATAGGATGCCAGAAACAAGTTTGCTTGATAGGATTTAATTAACTGGTCTATGGGTCTACCTCCTTATTTCTACAACCAAAATGATACACAAACTGTGCCGCTTATCTTCTTTCTTTCCACACCAAGCTCCAAATAACATATACAATTACATATGTTATTTTTGCATACTATCTGAACTAAAATCTTCCCTAGGGCCATTCCATATATGCAATTTTGTTCTTCCTGATTTCCTCTACTCAGATGTCTCTGCCTTCTCACAGTGATCTATAGTGTATGGGCGGCACCAGCGTGGCACTGACCTAGGAGGGTGTGTGCTCATACACTCTGCACAGAGAGAGCATGAAGAATGGTGAGGATAAAGCCCGGCACACGCCTGTAATCCCAGCACTTGGAGAGGCTACGCAGGAGGATTACAAGTTCAAATCCTTCCCAGAAAATTTATTGAAATCCTGTCTCAAAATAAAATAGGCCAGGGATGTAGCCCAGCTCAGGGTAGAGTGCCCTTTGGTTCAATTCTCTATACTGGGGGGAAAAAACCAAACAAACTGGTGAGGATCAGCTGCAAGCTTTGCTGAGACACAAAGATCCCACTCTTCAGAGTGTCTAGATGAAGAGATCTCTGCAGGCATCCTCATTTAGCCAACAGGTGTTATTGAGTAGATTGGCCTTGCTTGAGGACTGCAGGACTCAGGGCAAATGACTTCATCAGTACCAAATCCTCATTCTCTATGCATCTACTGGACAGCTTCCAGTAGATGCTTCTTAAGCAGAAAACTGTGCTGAGAAAACAGAAGAAAAATGCCAAGAGTCACACACCACAGGAGCTAGAATGACATCAGAGGTGCTCAGTCCCGGAACTGAGGCATATCAGGATCACAGACTCTGTTGAAAATAAGATTCCTAGGGCCTACCCCTGAAGATTCTGACCCATTAGGTCTTGGGCAGGGCCCAGGCATGTGTATTTCTTAAAGAGTCCCCTAGATGGCTCTGAAGCTCAAGGAGGATCTGGAACTATGCCTTAAAATGTCATCCACTCTACACAGGTTCATTTGCCTTTCTGGGCAGAGATTTCCTAAAAAGAGCAGTGGCCACCCCTGGAAAAACGGCAAACTCATGGGGCTCCCTAGGAGACCAAGACCCTAAGTAGGAGGTAAAAAGGGGAAAGAGGATATCAGCTTTCAGGTGAGGCTGGCTTATTCTGAGGGTGATCAAAGGGTCTTATTCCCCACCCTCACCCAGGGGAGCCAGGAGGAGGATTTTTGCCCTCCTTTTCTGATCTGGGATCTTGCCTTTTAGGTTCTGATAACAGTATCAGCCAAAGCTCTGAGTAAGCAATTGTTGAGGACTTTGTGTTATCTCCTTTGAGGACCTCCCCCAGTCCTGCTCATGAAACCCTGTCCCTTTCAGGAAAGGCTCTCCAGATGTCCCTTCTGTGTCTACCTGAAATAATCCTTTTTATGGATTTCCTTCTTCAGCCCAGAAAACAAGAACAAAGGAACATTGGCTGTTCCAGGAAAGAGGCTGGGGTGTCTTCTCTTCTGATTCTCTTGTCCCTACTCCAACTCTGCCTCAGCTGTCTTCCCCTGAGTCCCACCAGGGAGCAGCTAGAGAACATGGGTACCACGGGGGGCCCAATCCTTGGAGTGCTGGCCCAGGTCCTAAAGAGGCCTCAGGATACAGACATAGTACCAAACCACAGAGGTTCTCAAACCCCAGCACAGAAAGACGGCAAGATGTACCATCACTGTCAAGGGCTGACCTTTGACTTACTACTTCCTCCTTCCCAAACCTGGTCCTTTTGATACCCTCAGCCCTGTGCAGCCACCCCTATGCAGGCATGTCCACTTCATAGAGTGGCTGAGTTCGCATCTTTTTTTCCCCTCTGGTATAGTCAAGACCTTGTCCTCTCTCAGGGTTTTTGCAGTCTACTAACTGCAGAGCTTCAGCCTCCATACCTGCAGGACTATGGGAGTGTTTTGTTTTGAATCAAGACGTGGGTCCTTGCACACTGCTGCCCTCTACTGGAAAGCCAGATCTGGGCATCAATCCATACCCTAGTGGACACCTGTAACTGCCTGAGGGCAGAGGCATGCCTTCCTCAGGGTGGCTTAGATAGAAGGGATAAGAAGAGTCAGCTTTTCCCAAGACCCTGGTAACTTCAAGGGCCTGAATTTGGGAAGTCACAGGCTGACTTTCAGAGATGTTCAGGCTTCAGTCAAACTGGTTTAAACCTGTCTCCATCCGACAACACACTGTGGAATTTGAGCAAATATATGAATCTCTCCAAATCTCAGTTTCCTGGTCTGTAAAGTCACTTCTCCTGTCACTCAGGGGCACCATCCACTCAACCCTCCCTGTCCCTGAAGCCATCTCTGACCTTCCTCTCTTGCTCCCACAGGCCTCAACACTTCCCAAGCACAGAGCGTCCCAGTCATCAACAGCGTGGCCGGCAGCCTGGCGGCCTTGCAGCCCGTCCAGTTCTCCCAGCAGCTGCACAGCCCTCATCAGCAGACCCTCATGCAGCAGAGCCCAGGCAGCCACATGGCCCAGCAGCCCTTCATGGCTGCTGTGACTCAGCTGCAGAACGCACACAGTAAGGACACAGGAGTGACGGGGGAGGCAGCACCCTAATCTCTTCCCTTTCTGGGTTGGAACCTTCTTGGAAGGCTACAGTTTGATCATTTTCCCTACCTGTCATCAACCAAGACAATTTCTGAAGCACGCCTTCTGCATGTTGCTCTTCCTACCCCCAAGATTCCCAGGAGAAGGTTTGCAGGGGACGCCTTAGGCCTACACATAAAGGGGAATTACAGATAGAATGTGGAACATGTGCCACAGTCTCCCATCCCTCCACAGTGGGAATCAACCACAGCAACTTCCCAGTGAGCCTCAATTTAGCTTTTTCTTTCTTTTATGATGGTAGTGGGATCGAACCCAGAGGCTCACTCATGCTAGGCAAATGCTGTGCCTCTGAGCTACATCTCCAACTGCTCAACTCAGCCTTTTCAATCTAAAATTCCAAGCAGCCATTTACAGATGATCAGCTTCAACCTATAATTTGTATTCTGTTTGCCTCCCTGGAATATAAAAATCTTCTAGAGTTCCCATTCTCCCAGACACTCCAGACATTTCTAATCAAACACCTGAACATAGGTGGAAAATATCACCTGTACACCATCCTGGCTGAGGAGTATCAGAGTTCTGCCCCTGCACAGAGAATCCCCTGTATCCAGTTTCTACACCTTCCCTAAATCTACCCTCTCTGTCTTCTATCTTCACCCCCAGGCCTCCAGGCCTCTGGCCAAGTCTGGCCACAGCCCTTCGCCTACATGTTTGGGGAGAAATCGAGTTCGGGGAGGAATCATTTGAAGGATAAATGGTTTCCCTGCTTCGGGAATGCCAGAAAAGTGTTCAGTATAGTCCTAAACAGACTTGAATTTAAATCCTGACTTGCCAGCTATGTAGCCACTGGCAGGTTACTTAAGCTACTCTGAGTCTCATGCATAAAATAAGAATTGTGTGCTTCTAGGGTCATTAAGAAAATGAAATAAAAAGAGGGGTGAACTCCATTTGATAAGCATAAGGAGTTATAGAAATGCAAGTGATTATTTATTAATGGACTGCTAAAGGGAAAGATGGCAAAGTGAATTTGAGTTTCTCTCTGGGCTGCTTCTGATAAGGCTGCAGATGCTAAGGGGAACAGCCAAGTTCAGCCTTCTATCCTTTGGGCTCAGTTCCTACTTGGCCTTGCAGAGCTGGTTTCTGAGCACCATCTCACATTCCAATCACATATTCGTGGCTTCTAAAAATCTGTTACAGCTTGTAGCAGGGTGGGCCCACAGGTCCCTCACTTCTCTTCCTCCCAGAGCTTGGCAGTATGCTCCTCCTCTTCCTCACCTGGGCTGGGACCCTCAGTGGTCAGGCCTGAGTGGGACAGTTAGAGGGTAATTGCCAGCAGCCTGTGGGCCAGCCACAGAGAGTCCAAGGGACCCCGAACTAGGAAACAATCAGCATCCCTACACAAGGATAAGCTGGGGCACCAGCCAGTGACAGTCAGCCCCATTCCCCACTGATAGACTCCTTAGTAGACTCTGTATTCTGAGAACAGGCTGGTCCCTTCCTCATGGCCAAGCATCCGTATGCTTTCATTAGTTGGTCATGTGACTTAGAATTTGCATGATTTTTATGGATAACTATTAAGAGTCAAAAGTTCCACGTGTCATGGACAAGTACTAAAAACACCTAAAATTGAAGTCACATGCTCCTGGAGGTTTTATTTGGATCTAGTTTCCTTTTGTTTACCCTTCATACTTCCATGTTACAAGGCTATGATATCATTTTAGTGCAAACTGGAATAGCCCAGAATTATACAATCAATTACATATGTGTCTAATTATAGCTGTTAATCCATCAACAACTCTTGCAGGAAATCTACTGTTTGAATCATGGCAGAAGCTGTAAGCCTGAACTTGGCCAGATACTTCATGCTGGCCACCTGCTTAGAATATTTTTTTACTTAAATCTCAGGTTCACCACATATGCCTAAGGGTCACCTGTTGATGCCCAGGCACCTAATACTTTATTGACAATCAGAGGAAGAGAAGTGTTTCCAAGTACCACTATATATACTAGACACTGTGCAAAGCTATTCATGCACTTGGTACAAAGTAGTTTAAACATGGTATTTCTTAATCCCACAATAGATACCATCCCCATTTTTTAGGCAAACTGAGGTTAAGTAACTTGAGTAAGGAGCCAGGATTTTATCACATTGCACTGCCTTCCCAAACATAACCATGACCCTCTTTTATCTACCCAGAGAAACGGGAGCTGTGGTGTGGGATGGGGGAGCTGTAGCTGTATATGCACCTTGATTTTCTCTTCCCTTTTCCTCTCCAGTGTACACACACAAGCAGGAACCCCCCCAGTATTCCCATACCTCCCGGTTTCCATCTGCGATGGTGGTCACAGATACCAGCAGCATCAGTACACTCACCAACATGTCTTCCAGTAAACAGGTAATGCCAGCAGGATGGGGCAGCAGGGCTGGGGGGTGGCATGATTAAGACTATTGATGCACCTAAGGTGTGGCAAGTGTGGAGTTGGTCATATTTTGTTCCTTTCAAAGCTTCCTTCTGAGTCTTCCCTTAGTTTCTTGCTAAAAGAATCCCTGAGGTCACAGGGCAAAGAAGATGGGCCACAGGCCAAAGGGGCTTATTGCTCCCAGTTTCCCTAACCATCAAGCACTGAAGTTTGATAGGTCTCTAGAGACTGAATGACACAGAGCATTAGGCATTGAGATTGAATATTCCTCCATGGGATGACTGATGATCCATGGAAAAGGTATTTCCAGGAAGGGCTCAGGAGGTCAGACCATCTGTTGAGTTTCATGCTTTTCAAAGATGCTCAATGGAGAAAGTGAGTGTTGAGTCAGGGGTCCTGAGGCTGATTCTCTCAGTCCAGGACCCCTGCCAGGCCCAGATGCTGTACCCTCCAAGGATTGAGCCAATCATGCCTACCCATGAGAACATCAGATAGCATGGTCTTTGCAAGGTCTGCATTCATTTGGCGTTTTATCAAGAAACTTAGAATCAACTTCCTGGTGCACTAAAACTGGGAAACCCAGAAGTTTAGTCACTGTTTCACTTGATGAATAATTCCCACCTCCTCATGGAAACCATGGACTAGTAAAGACGAGCAAAGCTCATTGCTGGAGCCACAGAGCTGCACTGCAATGGGACACTGAGAGTTAGAAACAGGACAAGATGTTTGAACATGGATGACAGCTCCTGGATAACACAATAAGACCTTTTAGTAGCTGGGATCTGTGCAGTGTGAGAACTATTTGGGCTTTATTGATTACTAGATAAGGAGGAGACAACCTTGAACTTCATGTCAGAGGTGCTCAGCAGAATTTGATCTTGTTGATGGTCTTTTTTTCCACCTGAGCACTGCAAACCACACCTCATCCGTTGGCATGTACTTCTGAGCAGATTTATTCATGGGTTGCACAGTTTTTCTTCTTCTCTTAACACCATCTCCTCCCACTTCCAGTCTAGGAGTGTGGTGAAGCAAGTGGGTTCTATTCCTGCCATTTTCCTGGTGACCTTGACCTCTCAGCCTTCATTTGTTCATCTTTACAATAATACTTGTAAAGTCACCTTGTTCTGAGGATTTGGCAAGGTGACATAGATTAAGTACCTGGCCCATCTTGGGTGCTGACACATACACAGCCCAGACAACTGGGCTCTGGTGTTGGGGGTGGAAGGAGAGGTGTGTGGGACCTGCTTTGCCACACTTCTCTCACCCAATAGAAGATTAAACGACAACCCCCTAGTGCCCTGCCCTTCAACTCCCATGCGATTTCCCACTCTTTGTAGTGAGCAGGGAAAACATTTATCTGTGCTCACAAATCTCAATCAGGGGGCAGCCAGGCGCAGCAGCCTCCTTGGGAATACTTTCTCCTTTGAAAGCTTTATCAATCCATCTGCCGCTTGGTCAGCCCTAGACAGGACCGTGATTAATTATTCCTGTCTTTCCCAAATTGACTTTGATGCTTGCTTGTTGAAATGAGTCCTCTGGATGCAAGAAATGGTCTCTTAATCAAAATACTTCAAGATGCTCCCTGAGACTCTTCCACCAGCCCCCAAATGGCTTCTCTCCTCCATTGGACAGAGTGGTCAGCTGACCCTGAAGCTGCATGAGCAGCCTTCTCCATCTGCTGTGAAGTTGTCTCTGGGTCACTGGACATTTCAGAAGTCTTGCAAGAGACTCATTTCTGCAGTGATGGAGATGACTATCACACTTAGGAAGGATAAAAAATACATAGCACTTTATGCTTCTCATGAATGTTACCTCATCATTTTCTTTTTATTGCAATCTTCTAAGTCCAAAGAAACTAACTGAAGCTCAGAGAGAGAGAATGACCTGCCCAAGGTCACACAGAGGATAAATTCTAGAACTTGACCTCCAGACTTTTGTCTTTGACTCCAAATCATGGCCTCATTCCACTTAAACAACACTTACCTTCCAATATTCCTGTTAAATTCTTATGGCAATCACTGTTGCTCCTGTCATGTTTAGTGCTCAGGAGCCAGAGTAAAAATTAAGCTTATATGCTAAGTTCCAATCAGGAAATTTTCTTCCTGTGAACCAAAGGAGGAGGAGGAATGGAAAAGGCAGAATGAAATAAATGAAATGAGGGTAAAGGCATCCCCTCCTGACCATAGGCCTTACCCAAGATGAAGACAGTTTATACAAACAGCTCCTAAGGCAAGGAGTCACAAGTGAGTTCCCAAAGAGGCCTGGTGGCAGTTCGTCTTTTTGTCTGTTAGAAGGAGTATTGTTTTCTAAGAGGGATTTCAAAACCATTACTATTTATCAGGGGCGTATGGAGTGAAAGGAGAAAAAGATTCTTTGGTCAGATGTGTTGGGAACTGCTAGATCATTAACAAAGTTAAACACCGCTGGGCAGGGCTTCTCAGAACATTTCATGTACTGATGTGCACATCAAGTGTGCATCAGGCTTGGGTCACAGGGGCACAGCTGGGCAGTTGTGCTTTAGAAACATTGTACAGTGATAGGAGAGAAGAGCTGAAAGGTCCGAGTTACTCCCCACTCCATCACCGTCTGAGATTGGCAGTTCAGTCCCCACTGTGAGACTCATTATATGGGGGAAATTCCACCCCCATCTCACTATGTTCAGAGTGCCCAACAGAGTGCCTGGGACACAATCAAGTACTCAGAGTGGGAGCTCTTGGCTTCTCCTTCTTCTGTCTTTCTGTCTTTCCTTCCACTGACTCCTTTAATATTTAAGTCAGTGTTTAGTCTATGTGTGGTCAAAGGAGGATCTGACAGTAACATGTCTCAAGACTAGGACCATCTCTGTAGCACATCCCACCTCTTGGGCCTGGGCTTCAGAGCCCCATTTTCCATTCTGCTGGTGTAAGGAACCTCCTCACCCCACTCTCAGGGAAAAAGAGCAAGTAGTTCAGGGCCCACTCAAAACACCTAAATCCTTTGTGTTTAACCCAGTGCCTCAGTTATGATAGATATTCAGTTAATATGGATGGATGGGTGGATGGATGGATGGATGGCCAGATGGATTCACAACTAGTATTTTTTTAGTATTGCCCATTTTCTAAGCAGTACTCCATGAGTTTTTATATTTTACTTGTGTGGCTAACCCTCCTGCTCATTCTACAAGGTGGATATTTTTATGCCTGATTTACTGAGCAGAAACCTAAGGTTTCAAGATGGGGAGAGATCTGGGATAAATTCTAGAGCTGTACTTCCAGACTTTATTCTTCTCACTTCAAATACATTAAACAACACTGTCCTTCCAGTATCCATTTTTAAGCACCCATAGTAATGACTCAAGGTTATTCAGCAGTAAAGCAGGATATGAACTTGGATCTACCTATTCACAGTACTTCCTGTTGTCAAAAAAGACATGCCCCAAGGACTCTGGGAATCTTACCTCAGGAACCCCAGGCTGGCCTGAATCCTTCCACAGCTACTGCAATCAGTTCTTTCCACAACTTTTGCCTCTCCTTCCTTCTTCTTTTTTTTGCGGGGGGGGGGGGGGCGGCGGCTGGGGATTGAACTTGGGTCCTTGCACTTTCGAGGCAGGCGGCAGAACCACTGAGCTAAATCCCCGGCCCTCTCTCCTTCCTTCTTAACTCTTGGGTGCTGGTGGGTTACTTTCTGGGTGGATTTGTGCCTGGGCTCCCGTGTAACAATGTCCCACCAGTCCAGAAAGAAGACTGAAGAAGCACTGACCCTGGTTAGAACAAGTATGGGCAGGCTGTAAACTGACTCCTGTTTCCACCACTTTCTCTCCCCACTGCTTCACTTCCTAGTTTATAGGGAGGTCAAGAGAGGCCCCCAGAGAGTTCCTAATCAGAGGTGCTGACAAGAAGGAGGGGGCAGCCTCGTCATAAATCCCCTGCTGCTGCATCCTCCCCCGCCCTGCCTTCTTCACTGGCGATGAGGCAGAATGCTCGGATAGTTAGGAGCTCTCACCTGGGAGCTAAGCAGATCCACTCTCATCCTTCTGCCACTTTCTACCTGCGTGACCTCAGGGAAATGTGTCAGCCTCTCTGGGCCTCAGTTTCTTCATCTGTAAAATGAGGATACTGATACCTCTTTTTGTGGGTTCAGCGAGAGAACCAATTGCAAGAAGATTTACATCACTTGGTGCTTGGTCCAAAAGAAACACACAGTCCATGGGAGCTGGGTATCACTTGGCTTCTCTTGCTGTCAACCAAGTGTCTCCAGAACTTGGGAAGTAGATTTTTAAATGGCAAAAGGCATTTATTTCCCCCATTTCCCAACTCAGAAGGGAGGAAATTACCCTATGTAGGATTTAAGAGCACACCATTGCTGTTATGAAATCCTGGGCAAATTACTTATCTAAGTTGTACTTCCCTCGTCTGTAAAATTGGATTTGATGATGATGACTATGATGATGATGATGAATGTGTGTGGTACTGGGATGAACTACACCCCATAGCCCTTTTTGTTTTTGTTTTTGTTTTTTGGTACCGGGGATTGAACTCAGGTCCTTGTGCCTGCAGAGCAGGCGGCGAAACCACTGAGCTAAATTCCCAGCCCCCCATAGCCCTTTTTAAAATTTTATTTTGAGATAAGGCCTTGCTAAGTTGCCCTTGAACTTGGACTCCTCCTGCCTCAGCCTCCTGAGTAGCTTATAGTACAGGCATCTACCACCATGCCTGGTTTGGAAAACTAATTATTACTTTCAATTAATAGAGCTACAGTTAACCTCACATACATTAATAATAATTGAAATGAGCTCTCTGCACTTGGTCTCCCCACTTCCTCACCCTCAATTGCAGGCTGGCTTCTGTCCTCACACTCCATGAAGTGTATCCAGCTCACTAACTTCCATGTTGCTAAATCCATGGTTACTTTTCTTTGGCACAGCCAATCACTCCCTCCTTTTTCCCCTGGATTTTAGGACACCATCATTCTGTTTCTTCTCCTGGCACCAGCCAACTGTTCCTCTCTTTAACTGGCAGCTCATCTTCCCAACTTCGATGCATTGGAGGGCCCAGGGCTCATTCTCTGGCCTCTTCGTGTCTATGCTCACTCCTGAGTGTCCACCTATCACATGACTTTGGATCAAGCACACACTCACGGCTCCTACGGTTCTGTCTCCAGGGCATTCCTGCCCACTGAGGGCCCATGCATCTTTCACAAGGACATGTATATGACTATTATATTCAATATTCCTCCCCAGTTGAACTGTTAGGAAAATAGAATACTGAAAATAGAAACTCTTCGTTTTGCCCCACTTCCTCCCTACCTTTCCTTGGGCTTCTCCATTCCCTCAAATTATACCATTTTCACATGAAATACCTGAGATTAACTCTTGATTCTTCTCTTTGTATTCCACATCCAGTCCACCAATAAATCCTACTAGATGTCCTTCCGAATACATGCTAAATATGACCACTTCTCGCCTCTGCCACTGGTACTGTCCTAGTCTAATTCAGGCTCAGCCCTAGTCCTAACCCTCCTCTCTGGCTCATCTCCTTCAGTGGGCCCTGTTTCTCACTTCCATCCTTGTATCTCTGTGGTCTGTTCGCCACTCAGCAGCCAGAATGATCTCCTCAAGAGAAATCAAGCATGTTCCTCCCCTTTCAAAAATCCCCAGTAACTTTCCATTTGCAGTCAAACTAAGAGACTTTCAAGGCCCCGTGTGATCAGAGCTCTGCTGGTATCTCTCTTCACCCCTCCCTCGGGCCCTCCCTTACTCACTTGGGTTCAGCTGTACCAGCTGTACCGATCCCACTCAAGTTTCTGCATTTGTCTTCTTCCCTGGAACACTCTTTCATGTGCTTGCTCCCTCACTTCTTTCAGCTCAAACATCACCTCAAAGAGGCTTCTCCCGGGCTGGGGATTTAGCTTAGTGGTTTCGCTGCCTGCTGTGCAAGCGCAAGGACCCAAGTTCAATGCCTGGTACCAAAAAAAAAAAGAGGCTTCTCCCAATCTGCCCCTCTGAAATTTACTCCCTTTTCCCTCAAGTCACCCTAACCTCCTACCATTGCTTGTTTTTCTACAGAGTATTCATCTGTAGGTATTCATGCATATTTGTTTACTTGTTCACTGTTCAAAACTCTCACTAGAATGCAGACTCTTTGAGGTTGTGAGCAGGTCTTGTTCATAGCTGCATTCCCTGAGCCTAGAAAGTACAAACACATGGGAATGACAACTCCCTACCTCATAGGGATGATGGAAGAATTAAATGAAATGATGTGTGTAAAGCCCTGATGCCTGTACCTGGCACATAGTAGGACCTCAATACGTGTTAGCTATTACTATTATGTAACAAATCCTCTCAGAATGAGGGATGTTGCTATAATACCTTTCATATGGAGGGTCACCCAGGGATCCTCTGGGCCAGGCCTTCGTGGGGCTAGGAGTGCTGGGCCTCTAGCTCTAAGGGACCACAGTGTACCCCTTATCAGATGTTTGTGTTTAGACTCTGAAGGGGGCAAATAACTCTAGTTCTTTTGACAACATTTAAGGCTCTGCCACCATTTTATTATGTGAGCAAACATTTGATAGCTGGGAAGCCCATCCCTAATGACAGGTCATAGAATCTCACTGGCGTCTCCTTATCTTCCCTTCTTGTTTGCTCTTCTATTGAAACCTGCAAGGTCAGAAGCCGTTTTCTCTCTCCTCAGCCTGAAATCTGAAAATTGGGAAAAGGCTGATAGTGAGAAGTAAAGAGACTCAAGAGTAGGAGCAGGTAGAGGGAAGAAGAAGAGGCAAAGGGTATCAGAGGATCCTGACCAAGCCCTCAAGAATGTAGAAGGGTCAGAAACCTGTCTCCTCACATGAATGCATGCTCAGGCCCACTCTTAAAAGCCCTCAAGAGCAACATGGACGGAGGAACCCTTTGTGAGACAGTGTTATAATCAGAGAACTCCACATGTACTGACCCCTCCAATCCCACCACAACTTCCATGTTATAGGGTAAGTAACTGAGGCATGGAGAAAGAGAGACAGAGCAATTTGCCCAGGAGCACAAGGCTAAGTAGAAGGTTCTCAACCTCAGAGGGTAGTAGAAAAAAGATATGCTGGGAGATTACCCAGGAAGGGTTTGAATCTCTGGCTCCACACTCTCCCAGTTCTGAAACCAGGTCACTTCAAGCCTTGTTTTCCTAATCTGTAAAATGGACATAATGGTAACCTCATCTGGGGTTATGGTTGGAAGCATTGATTAATGAGATGATAATAATGGAACAAGAAACCTCTGTTACTCGCAGTAGGGATGTGTATGTTTGTATGTGTATGTGTGTTTGCAGGGGGATCTTGAGAAAACCAAGTACTGAGCCAAAAGGCAGTATCTTAGATGTCAACAAAAGTGAAGGGAAAGAAGAAACAGAGGGAAACAAAAAGGGGCTCCCTGGAAATAAAAAGGCGAGTGATGATGTTTCAGAGCAGTTAAGATGAATGAAGCCCAGGGATCCAGAGGGCCAGGCTACCCCACATAGATTGAGTGACCCCTCTCAGAGGGTTGCTCCAGCCATTCTGGGGTCTATTTCCCCAGGCTCCAAAAATATGGCATCAAAGGTCTTCAGTCCTGGATCCTTTTCCTGGATCTTTTGAGTTTCACACCTTGAGAAAGCATTTTGCAGTTGGCAACGTTCCCTCTCAGTTGGAAAAGTTTGAGAAGAGGAAAGTTTGAGTAGAGCCCATTTTCTCATGTGCTTTATGGCCCTGTTATTCTGAATAGATGAGCAGCACCAGCACAGCCTGGGAAATTCTGAGAAATGCAGATTCCTAGGTCCACCCCAGGCCTAAGAATCAGAATTGAACTGTTCTCTGAGGATCACTGTAATTGGTAGGTCCAATAGAGTTTGGAAAGCAGTAGTCTAGGGCACCTCTGCGCTTAGAGGTCTTAGGAAGAGGCCCTTTTTCCGTAAGAGACAAGAGCCCCCCACCTCACTACCTTTGCAACCACAATGAGTGCACAAATACCATACTCACAGGAAGAAGAGTCCAGTTTCATGGTTAAGGTCAGCAAGTTAGAACTATTTTCAGGACCCTAGCAACTTATTTCTCTCTTCCAAAGTGGCCAGGAAAGCCAGCTCCCAGGTTTTCGCAAGGGACATGTGTTTCTGGGCCAACACGAAGAGCTGAGTAGCGACTAGACCCCGACCCACCACCCCCTGTTTGCTGGCTGAGTTGGGCATCAGCTCCCTTGCAAAAGCCGAACTAATAACCCATGTCCCTGTCCAGTGCATACAGCTGAGCTCTCTCCTCTCTCTCTGCAGTGCCCATTGCAAGCCTGGTGATGTCCACATACCACTTACCGTGTGCACAGCAACAAGGACTCTCTTTTCCACACCATCACCCTCTGGGCAGCTGTCACGGAAAAGCCCAGTGACCTGACAAGCACCTGTGAGAGGTCCCCACTTACCTGATGTCCTGGTGGCACCTCAGACAATCCGCTCTTGGGAGATGCAGCCTTGAAGCCCAGCTTCCCTTCTACACAGTATTGTCAGGATGCCTCTCCTAAGATGTCAAGTGCTCCTGTTTGTCCTGGAGGCAGGCAACATGAAACTGCACAAGAGGAAGAGAACATGCTGTAGAGTCTACATTGTGATCTTTCATCGAACAAACTCATGCAAAAACTTGAATCTGTTACTGAAACAAAGAGAGGAGAACATGTGCTACTGAACTGAGCCAAACACACTGTAAATATCAACAGACTCCCTCTCCCCAACCCCAGCCCAAATGATCTCGAGATTTCTTTTAAAGAAGTAAATTTGTCCAATGGGTGTAAACTATAAACTGCTGTAATTAAGTGCAATTTCCCCTCCACATCATCTCCCCTTGCCCTGTATATAATACTAAAGTGTCTATTAGTTTTCTTTGTAAAGGTCAGAGTTGAAATTTCAAGTGATCCGCCCCCACCTTTTTCCCCCCATGGCAAAACACCCCAAGTGGGAAAAGAAGCCCCTCACTCCTCCCTTGGGCCTGGACACATAAGAACAGCATACTTTGGGCTGACTGCCAGCTAGCCCCAACCTCCTGATGTTGAGACACACCTCTGGATGCCTAGAGGGGCAGAACAGAGCTTCAGAGTGACATTCTAGTTTCCTGTGGAAATAGTAATCCAGCCAGTGTGCCCTGGTGACATTGGCTGATAGCCAAAGACACAGTGCCATCTCAGGAAGCTTCCCATTAAAAGCGTTTATTTTATCACTGCCAAGAGTTTCATATTTCTGTTTCTGACATCTCCCCTCCCAGAAGTCTACCAAGAACCCCTGGCCTAGTCTCCTTGAGACTTCCCACTTACTCACTGGGGTCACAGTGGGTGTCCTCTGGGGTGTGGAGGGGTGGGTGGCCTTCATTTGCTGTCACACTCCCTAAGTCCTCAGGTTGGCCCTGCTGCTCTTCGAGGTAAGGAAGAGTTGATTCCCCCAGGCAGACTCCACAAGCCCTTCTTCCCTGCAGCTCACAGGGACAAAGTCACAAACCCAATTCTTGATGACTTGTGCTCATAGAAACTGAAAAAGAGCAGAAAGAATGAAAATATGATGGGTAACTTTTTGGGGGGTGGGAACTTTTTTGGGGGGTACTGGGGATCAAACTCAGGACCTTGTGCTTGCAAGGCAGGCAGCAGCACCATTGAGCTAAATCCCCGGCCCATGGGTAACTTTTTAAACCTCATTTTATGCATTAATTCTAGCCTTTCTTCTCACCCTGCCTTCCATCTATAGGGCCAGGCACTAGAAGAAGGGGCTCCTGTAGATGTCTCCACTAGTATCAGATTCTATCCCTGGTAGGGAGGCTAATGAGTACGAACAGTCCAAAAGGTGAAAGGCCAAATACCTGTAGACTCTGCCAGCACAGAGTTTGCCGCCAAGAATCCAGAGCCGATTCCAGGAGGAAGGAAAAAGACCTTGTCTTCTTTGCTGTCTCCTTTTTGGCATAGCTAGGGCTCCTGGCCTGTGCCTTTCCTACTTCTAGATGGAACATTTCCCAGGGAAAGTGTAGGCAAGGAGACCATGCTGACAGGCTGAGAGACAAGTTATTCAAAAATCTCAGTCTGCTGGAATATGCAACCCCAGTAAGCCAGGAAAACTTTGCTGAGTGCCTACTATGTCCCCAGAGCAGGGGTGAATAGATATGGAACACTGTCCTCCCTTGATTCCTGGCTCCAAACAATGTGATTTGGGCAGAAATGATCAAGAGAAAATTCGTGGTGGGTTTGAAAAGGGCCTAGGGCAAGGCTGAGCATTATATGCGGAAAGAAGGCAAGATCTCTCTTCACTAGTTGAGATGATCGCTAGTTCAGAAAGGGCATCTCAAATTCCAAGGGGAGGGAGGGAATAAAGACATCAAGCCCTAGCCTCAGTGGAGCCCTATGTCTGGATCATATTGGTTTTGCCACAGCAAGCATCTGCTGAGAGTTTAAATCTTGCACTATTGCAGTAGCCCGGAGAGCCCAGGTCACACTGATGCAAGATGTCACTTGAGCAGTGGAGGAAAGGGAGGGGAGGGAGGGGAGGGACAATCTGGGAACGTCTCCTAAACAAACCCTATTTAAGTAAAGATAGGTGGAAGCCCATGATCCTCACAACTGAGTGCCTAGGAAAGCCAACAGATCCTTTTGCTTTCTTTCTTTTTCTCTCTCTCTCTTTTTTTTTTTTTTCGTGCTGGGGATTGAACTCAGGGCTTTAAGAACACTTGGTAAGCACTCCCTTACTGAACTACACTCCAAGCCCCACAATAGCTCTTTTATAAAAATCAGGGACCCCTCCTCACTGGCTGTAAGAGGGGGGTGGGTACCCACTGTATTTGGGGTCCAGATGGGAATTACCCACTCTCAAGATTCTTTTGCAACTAAAAGCCTTCATTCCTTCCTCCCAGATTCTTATGGGCCACCATTTTCTTGGGTCTGTCTTTGTACATTGAGCCCATACTGACCAATGGTTCTGTTTTTATCAGGACCCACTGTCATGTCTTAGGGGGCAGACAGACTTCATTTTAACATCTGTGGATAGGAAATGAACTCAGTAATGAAAGCTTACCTTAAATTGTATTAGCTGTTCCAAGCCAAAGGGTTATAGGGTACTCTCTCTGAAGTCACAGATAATGTGCCTTGTTTGCCACTGAATTCAGGTGGATAAGACTACAATACAAAGAGTTGGAGAATCTGAGCTCTAGGAAGAGATCTCTGATAGCTGTTTTAGAGCCAGAATGCCTGATTAGAATCAACAATTCCACCATTTAGCTTGTCCTGTCCTCATGTCCTCCTATGTAAAATTTGAATGGTAATAATCATAGCTACTTTGTCAAGTTGTTTGAGGAGGAAGAGTGAACCAACACCTTAAAAGCTCAGAACTCTGCCTGCGTGCAAGAGTACCATGTATCAGTGAATATTCTCCCATTCTAGAATGTTTTCTCATAGAATCTCTTGGGTTTGGTTGATATCTCCAGATAACCTTATCACTTAGCAGTTTCATTCTTGGTAAAGAAAACTGCCATTAAATTGTCCTTTATTCATTTCTATAGTATATGGAAAACCAAGTGGTAATCCAAGGCTATCAGAAAGGGCAGGCCAAGGAGAGAGGAAGGCCTAACTGGGGCAAGAAGACCTTGTCTTCTTTGAGGAAAGAAGATAAAATGTGAACAGTGGGAGACCATAGAGAACACTGGGAGGCTGGGACAAAAACTGGCTTCCTAGTCCTGAAAAAGAGTGGGGATCTCGGGGGAGGAATCTGGGGAGCCAGGGAAGCTGAAGGTGAGGAAGAGGCAGGAGCTAATTTCTGTGCAAGGAAAAGTAAAGCTGATGGGTCCCCTTTGAATTAAGAATTAATTTAGGGCCGGGGATTTAGCTCAGTGGTTCTGCCACCTGCCCCACAAGCTCAAGGACCTGAGTTCGATCCCCGGTACAAAAAAAAAGAATTAATTCAAACTCATGCCACCCAAAAAGCACTGGGGCTGGGGAAGTAGCTCAGTAGTCAAGCATTTGCCTAGCATTCTTGTAAACCTTGGATTCGATCCCTTGCACTGAAAGAAAAACTAAAGCTGCTTTGGAAAAAAAAAAGCAATTGTTAATAGTGGACTGGGCTGGCCTGGAGTAAGACACATCTATGACTTCGTGCTTCAAATATATCTAACTGCATCACACAGGCCAAATATGTATGAGAAACTGCAATTGGTGGAACCAAATGACTATAAGGTGCCTCCTTTGCTCCTGCCGTTCCTCTCTCCTTCTCCCTTCCCTCCTTTCCTCTTAGGTGTAGAGGTCCTTCCAGCTAAGCAAATACTGAATTGTCCACTGAGATTTATAACAGGACTATTTTACAAATGAACCTTTCAGGTGTGTAGGACTTCGAATACACCTGGATGAACTTCTTCTCCCTGGAGATAGAGCATAGACAGATAGATAGATAGAATATCACACTTTTTTTTTTTTTTTTTTGGTACCAGGGATCGAACTCGGGTCCTTGCTCTTGCGAGGCAGGTGGAAATATCACACTTTTTAAAGGTGCACAAGCAAAGCAAATATGGAGGGGACAACATCAAAAGCGGGAATCATGACAGCAGATTTCATGGGGCCCTGTATGTTTATGCTTGTGCCTGCAGACCCCACAACACAAACAAGAAGATGTTTCTTTTGCACGTTTTAGTTTCTCATAAGATACATACTGCTATATTCCCAAAAGGAAGGTTTCTTTCCTGTGCCCTATTGTCTTGGCATCTTTAACAAAGCAATATACTAAATTATTCTGAATTAATTATGAAAGGGATAAAGAAATAAAGCTAATTTTTTAAAAGATCAAAACTAACCCAATATAAGGAAAAGATGTCTGATTCCTGAGCCATTCCAAGGTTTTTGTGTACACCTTTGCACTTGGAAATATCTAGTCCAAAATTATTTTTCTACTTTAGTAAAGAACTATTTTCTTGTCTTGCTGCATGATAGGCACCATTGTTCTAGACATGGAGGACACAACAGTGAGCTAAAACAGGTAAAAGTCTGACCTTCTTGAAGCTTGCATTCTAGGCAGAGACAAACAGTAAAAAATGTGTAAATATGTGTATGTGTGCATGTCAGATAATGCAAAAATATCTGTGAAAACTAGCAGGCCAAGGAGAGGTGAGGTAAGGTGGAGTGAGGTGGCGTAGCCATTTTAAACAGAATGCCCAAGGAGGAAGAGTGTGGTCACTGAGCAAGTGACATCCAAGAACCCCAAGGTTGAGGAGTGAACCATGTCATTCCAAGTAGAGGAAACAGCAGGTACAAAGATCCTGAGACAGGCATAGAAAGGCAGAGCATTTAGAGCTGAATGAAAGGGAAAGTGGAGGGTCAGAGAGGTAAGCAGAATGAAGGGGATTGATGACAAATGGTCATTTGTAGGGACTTCTGCAAACTGTGATAAGGACTTTGGCTTTTATTTTGGATGAGCTAGGAACCATCAGAGAATTTTGAGCAAAGCCAGGACAAGATCTGATGTTTTTAAGGGATCCCTCTGATTGCTGAGCTAGGATGAAGTAAGGGGTTTGCCAAGAATGAGAGCAAAGAGCCCATAAGTTGCCATCATCCAAGCATGGACCATATCTGTTTGGTTCATCTGATTAAGGATGTGTTTCAAAGGTAGAGAGCATTTGGAGATGCCAGGATTTCCTGATGGTGTAGATGTGTTGTATGAGAAATAGAGGCATCAAAAATAATTCCAAGGTTTGGGCTCTGAACAAAGTAGGAAATAGAAATTTGTGTTGGTGGAAGTAAAACACAGCATTACAGACTCTATAAGTTGGTCATTCTTTAGTGGCACCTTAGGAAGCATCTTGGTAGTACATCATGATGTAATGTCCGATATTATGACGTCCACAATGTGATGATGTGATGTCAAGTTGCCCAGTAAGGTGACATTCACTCATAGCTTACTATATGCTACATACTCTTCTAGGCATCGGGAGAAAAGCAGTTTTTAAAAGGCCACAATTTCCATGGAGCTTATATAAATTCAACTGAGATCATGGAGCTTATATAAATTCAACTGAGAGGGAGCCAACAATAACTGGATATGCCAAACAAGTAATATATTAAATATGGAGTAATTAAAGAAATATACAAGGTGTTAATACATATTAGAACAAAAAACAAGGCAAAGAAAGAAGAAGGGGAAGGGAAACGAAGGAGAGAGATTCATTTTTTTATAGCGATTGTTTCACTCTTGTTTTTCAAGACAGGATTTCACTGGGCATTCAACCAAGAAGAAATCTGAATGAATATTTTGGAATCACCTACATTGGTGACTGAAGACTTATTCTTCCTGCTGCCTCCTCTTTTAAAAGACTCAATTTGTTCCACCTGGCTACTGTAACAGATGACCAAAACCTTGGTGGCTTGAAATGACAGAAATGTATTCTTTCAAAGATTTGGAGACTGGAAGTCCAAAATCAGTATTGCTGGGCCCAAACCAGGGTGTCAGCAGGTTGGACTCCTGCCAGAGACTAAAAATCAGATCTTTGCTTGCCTCTTCCAGCATCTACTGGCTGCTGGCATTCCTTGGCCATCATTCCAGCCTCTGCCTCTTGTGTCAAATCTCTCCCTTCCTCCCTCTTATGAAGACATGTACAATTGTATTTAGAGCCTCTATTACCTGAAATAATCTTCCTTAATGACATTTACAAAGACCCTTTCTCCTTTTAAGGTAACATGTACAGATTCCAGAGATTAGGATGATTATTCAGCCTAACACAGAGATTTTACTGCAAACTCAGAAGTTCAAATCCAGAGAGAATTTAAGGTGAGCATTTTTTTCTACAATTTTTCCCACTACATTTCATCATTATTTTTATTAATAAATTATCTTGCCCAGGAAACATGGATGGCAACAAGATAGATGCTTGCTTCTTGATGCTAATAAAATCTTCTAGGAGCCATGCTTTGGGGTGGCTTGCATTAATAAGTAAATGAAAACCTTAAGCATTACTCATGCTTATATCATGGAGACAAAACAACAGGCTTCCACTGTAGTTAGAGTTAACCATTCATCTACTCATTTGTTCATGTAGTAAATATTTACTTCTGCTGTACAAAGTTGTGGTTCAGCTCTCAGGCTAGGGAGTCATTCAAATCTGGGTTCAAATTCTTGTTCTATCATTTACTTACTTGTATGATATTTGGAAAGCTAGTGAACCTCTGGAAATGAAGTTGGCTGGGGATTCAATGAGATACGAAGTTCACAAAGCTCTTAACCTGGTTTTAAGAAAGTGCTAGATATACTATCAAGAATATATAAAGAATTGAAAAAAATCAGACCCCCCCCAAATTCAAAGTCCCAATTCAAAAAAAGGCATCCGAAATGAACAGACGTTTCTCAGACAAAGAAGCAAAAGCAGCAAATAAACATAGGAAAAATGTTCAACATCACTGGTCATTTGAGAGATGCAAATGAAAACAACACTGAGATTCCACCTCACCCCAGAAAGAATGGCTGCTATCAAGAAATCAACCAATAACAAATGCTGGCGGGGGTGTGGAGAGAAAGGAATCCTTCTCCATTGTTGGTGGGGGTGCAGGCTGGTGCAACCACTATGGAAATCAGTATGGAGATACCGCAAAGAACTAGGGCTAGAGGTCCCATTTGACCCAGATATTCCCCTGCTGGGGATCTTCCCCAAAGAATTAAAAGAATCATACCACAGCAATATATGTGCACCCATGTTTATAGCGGCACGGTTCATAATAGCTAAAGCTTGGAAACAGCCGAAATGCCTATCAACTGGAAACTGGATAAAGAAGATGTGGTTTTTCTATAAAATGGAGTACTACTCAGCCGTAAAGAATGAGAAACTAGAGACATTTATAGCTAAATGGAGGCATATTGAGGCCATACTCTTAAGTGAAATAAATAGGACACACATGTGTAAATACCGAATAGTTTCTCTAATGTGAGAAACTGAAAGTGTAAATAAGGATTAAAATGAATAATTGATAATTTGAAATAGGGAACAGTCCAAAGGTGTAGTGGTGGTGGGAGGAGAAAGGGAAGAAGGGAAAGGAAAAATTATGAGAAAAGAAAAAAAAATGGAAATGAAATCTATGTAAATAGGGAAGGGTGGAGGGGGGGAAGGGTGCACAGGTAATGGGGAAAAAATAAGAACCAAGGTACATCATGTACAGGTACAAGCACCCAATGATAAATGTAAACGTAATGTACACCCAAAATGTACCAATAAAAGAATTTAAAAATAAAAGAAAGTCCTAGATAAATATGAGTTATTTGCATCTAGCGCTGCTAGGAGGACAGCATGAGATCACACACACACACACAAACACACACACACACACGAATGTAAATTCTACAAGAGCAGGGATGTGGTGCTTTGTTCACTGGTTTTTCTTCCTGTTAACTGGCACTCGGTACTTTCCGAAGGAATGAGTGCATATATGGAGTTTACTAGTTTATGTTTGAAATACATATGAGCCAAAAATACACACTTATCACCACAGCTGTCACCACCATTTTCTGGGACCTCCAGAAATTCAAAGAATGGAGCAAGGCATTGGCATTAACTTTTATAGATGAGGATGAGGAGAAAGAAAAGAGAAAAATGGCTGTTCTGGCTGGAGGCTTATGGCTAGTATAGTACTTACTATGGCTAGTTAGAACTGTGGCATGTTTAGTGTTTTACTAAAAATGAAAGTTAAAAGATTGAGAGAACTAAAGGAAAAAATAGGCTTCTCTAATCCATTTCAGCTTCTGAGCTGGCACTCAAAGAGGGGGGAAAAAAAACCTTCCACTTACCCATGGATTCGATTTCTCTGCCCCATCTGCAAATATTCCTACCATTCACAAAAAAGATTGAAAAATTCTAATACAGACATTCTCTCCCTGCCCCCCGCAGGAATTTCAGGCAGGGTCTTACTATGTAGTCCAGGCTGAGTTTGAACTCATTATATAGCCCAGGCTGACCTCAAACTCGCCTCAGCCTCTTGAGTGCTGGGATTACAGGCATGAACCCACATCCAGCTTCCCTCTATGTATTGTGCCTGTGGCCTCTGTGTGTGTGTGTGTGTGTGTGTGTGTGTGTGTGTGTGTGTTTGTGTTGCTATGGACTGAACCCATGGCACCAGGTTGCTAAGTGGCATGACATACTAGTGAATGGCATACTAAGCAGGTACTCTATCACTGAGACACATCCACAGCCTTACTTATTTATTAGAGACAGGACCTTACTAAGTTCCCCAGGCTTTCCTTGAAGTTGGCAGTTTTCCTGTCTCAGCTTCCCGAGTAGCTAGGAATACAGTGCACTGCCACACCTAGCTATTCTCTGTATATTTTCGATATGCAGAGCACCTAGGTGTTGGTGGAGAGATACATACTAAGTGCTCATTCACTCAACAAACCTCTTCTGTATACTAATTTTGAGCTAGGTACTATAATGGGAGCTGAAGATTCCAAGAGACCCTGAAAGACATCCCAGCCTGGCTGGGACAAGCTGGCAAGTGATTTCATTATAGTGTGTAGGTGTTAGAAAGTGTGGCATTAGTGAGACAACAGGGGCATCCTCCTTGGGTGGAAGTCAGAAAGGGTCAATTATAAATACATGAAGTTTGTCATGAAGAATGAGTGATGGGCAGATGGGGGGCTGGAGGAGACATTCCAGGCTGAAGGAGCACAAACATTCAAAGCGAACGTCTAAATCAGAGTTCCTGGAGTTGTTTCAGCCTTATCCTGTCCTCCCTGAACCCCCCTCTCCAGCTCTGCCTGCTGGGGACCCCGGCCTGAACTTCTCTTGCCCTGACTCTGTAAATCATGATCTGACACAATGAAATGTGTCCTCTGGGCTGCAAGGTTCTCAGGTCAAGGTAATGGGTCACTAGCCAGCCAGTGCCTCAGTGGAGTGAACCAGGGGCTGAGAATCAAATCTGTTGGCCCCACATCTTAAATGAACAGAGGTAGGACATGAGGTAAGGCACCTGATGTTTACGTTCAGAAACTGCAAAGCCACCAGCTTGCTAAGTGTCATTACGTCTGCAGGTGGAGGGTAATTTTCTCGTTATTCAAGGACTCCTGATCAGGCTCTGATTGGTTTGAGGGAATTGTTTTATGACCCAGAGCCAGGCAGTGATAGATAGGAGATGTGGTTTGGTGGGCAGAAGTTTACAAGGCAGGAAATTGCTTCACTGGGCACAGCCATTCATAAGAAACACCCCTGGGAAAAGGAGACCCAGGCCTCCTGGTAAGACTGCCCTGGCCATTTGTTTACATCAGCAACAACCCATGTTCCTGGTTACACAATGTGGCAGCTTTACTTTGTGTGGTGGATCTTTGCCCCTTGGAAGAATAAACACATTCCTCCTGCACAATGGAAACAGCAGACCTTACAGACTTCTCATGACTCTCCTGGAGCCCTTAATGTCATTGGAAGGTGACTCTAAACATTAGAGACCGAACTCACTCCAAAATTCAGTTGGAGTTTCCTTTATGGCAGTACAGGTTCAGAAGAAGATATTCCAAAGGTGAAGGGTGGCAAAGAATGCCAATCCTTTGTCAGGCAATTGCCAAAGCCATACCAGGTTTCTCAGAAGAAAATCAAGTCATTGGTTTGGGGGTCATTGGTCAATTTGGGAGGAGGAGCAGACAGGGGTGTGAGTTGTTTGGATATGTTCCAAAGCCCATGTTTCCATTGTCTCACCATCTCTGCAATTCCTTAGCTGAGTCCCAGAGTCCAGAGGTTTCCCCACATAGCGCCATCCAATCTGCTCACACCATGGGGAGGGGAGATAAAGGGCAGCAACTGGAGTCTCCAGAGCCACAGGGGTCTGTCTGATGGCTCATTGGCAGCCTCCAGCTCAGGACTGTTCAACAGAATCAAGAGTCACACCCTGGGCCCTACTCCTCCCCGCTGCATTTGTAAGCCCCATCTCTGTCCCTTCCTGGCTTTGTCCTGAGTTTAGGCTTTGGGAGGTTGCCTCTACCTATATGAGACACTGAGGTCAACATGGCATTTAATATCACAGCTTCTATGTGAGGGAAGAGGAAATGAAAAGATGAATTTCCTCACTCTCAAGTGTGTGAGAACATTTCAAGTTTGGTGCACAGTATCTGAGGCATTTGGGCAGGTGGGAGGACTTGGAGGGGAATTTCATTTTACCTTTTTTTGCCTTCATATAAGAAATCACGGACAATTCATCATTACCCTGACTTTGTCTTGGACCTACTTACTGTGTACTTAGACTATTGGGCAAAGCAGTTGGCAGCAGAAGGCCCTAGGCTGGCCCCATCTAAACTTGGTTTGCTTTCCTGAAGACCTTTGGTTTAATTCTGTCTCCCACTTTCAAGTTCTAAGTGGGGCCC